GAGAGAGAGAGAGAGAGAGAGAGAGAGTGTGTGTGTGTGTGTGTGTGTGTGTGTGTGTGTGATCATTCTCTCTGTTCTTCCTACCTTGCATTTCCATATTCATTATGTTATGGAGTCCAATATATTCACTATCCCCCCCCTTTGCACATGTCCAGAGTATCTCAGCCTTACCTCTAACTTTTTTCCAAAGTGTTCAATCTCAGCTGACCCTCTGATGTACTCCTTTCTGATATTGCTCATCCATAAATACATAAAAGAGGTAGAGGGGAAAATCCATGCAATATAAACTAATACACAGTTTTTATTTCACTCCCTCTAAACTTCATAGTATGAGTGTAACGTCCAACGACCTATGTTGGACATGCAATCTAGACATGCAAACATTAGCACATGCTACTTGGAAATATAAGCAGGTATAGAGCTCAGAAGCTCAGATATGGATAAATTTGATAATACCCTTATCACCAAAATTATGTGTATTGGTAGGCCGATCAGTCCCACCCAGAGCATCGAAATACAATTTAGCGGTGATAAAAGTAAGGGCAATCACAGTTGCAAGAAGAATTCTTAGTGCATGAAAAGACACATCCTCCCCAAACTTCAAATATTGGACTAAAGTTATATTAGAAATTGTATCACCTGGAAGAAAAGTGTAAAGAGTCGATGATGATGATAATGACAACTCAGGCAGATCTTTGTAATAAAATGTTATTGACAATGTTGATGTTGCAGTTTTAAGATATAATTGCAGGTTTGAGTGTCAGTTCCTGCTTGAAAATTTTATAATAATGCTCTCTATTCAAGTTTAATATAGGAAACGCAAATTTCAATAACAGAAAGTAAAATACAAAAAAACCCCAATAATTATATGGTACTCTGTCCCTCCTTATATATAACATATGTGTTTAATCTAATATATAAAAAAGCTCTGAACTAAAAAATAATAATTTATTTTTATGTTGCTGTATACAAGTATTGATTAAAACAGTGATATTATTATTATTATTGTTGTTGTTGTTGTTTTTGTTGTTATTATTATTATTGAGAAGTATGGTGTTGTACTGTAGTGCATTGTTGTGCGGTCCCCACCCCCTCACTTCCCTCCTGTTAATCCTTCAGCAGCGGCGCACAGTAAAGAAGCAGCGGCGGAAGCTAACAAAGCACTACTTGGGCTTCATTTGAGTAGATTTTTAACTAATAACTTGGTGAGTTGGAAATATTTTCAAGAATCCTGTAGCTGTTATATTTTCTAACACTTATTGTGGGTAATTATACTATTGTTCTGACTATAAATCTGTGTGTCTTCTCCAATATTTCGCCTAGCCTAGCTAGTGAGCTAACGGACCGATAAAGTCATATAGACTTCCGTTATGCTAAGCTAATTCTAGCTATCTAGCCTAGCAGGCTAAACCGGTACCGGTTTGTTACTGAAAGGAGAAGCAATGATTCCGGCTCAGCAGCTTGAAACAAACAACAAACACGACCTGAATACATTATATCACACGTGTTGTACGCATTTACTGTAGCACCCCCGAGTTATATTGTAAACATTCAAATTGAGCTTACAGGACACACACATCCGGCTAAGCTAACGCTCGATGATTAGCTAGCTTCAGTAAACACAACATCCTCCTAGACTAAATCTGGGTCAAACACCACTGCGGGGGTCCTAGTTATATTTCGCTGACATACATTTGCATGTTAATACGGCCAGTGTTGTAGTGATGGAATAAATGTTTGACGGGATATGTATGTGTATTTTTTTTGTTCGAGCTTGATGCCGGGGAGGGTCAGAAACACTGGAGCGGAAACGTAACATCACAGTAGAGGGCTTCACTGTATGACTCTTAATTTGTAAGCCAGCTATGTCGCGATGGGCCCTTGACAGTATGTACAGTATAGCTGATCAGGGGACCATGAAAAGCCGTGATGGTGATGATATTGTCGCAGAAAGCTGCACAGTTAGCCCTGGTGTTATTTTGTTTGGATTTTGCCAGCACAGCTGAAGGTTGCTGGTAGTTCATCGTTTATCACAGGCATAGTGTTAGAAAGTTGGACAATGCTTCCCCCTCCTGCATAATAAAATAAAATTACCCACTCTGATATAGATGACGTTCACGTGTTTTAATCAATCTTCTATATTTTTTCCTGAAGCTATGGCAGCAATCAGAAAAAAGCTGGTCATAGTGGGAGATGGAGCCTGTGGGAAGACCTGTTTGCTCATCGTGTTCAGTAAGGACCAGTTTCCAGAAGTTTACGTGCCCACAGTGTTTGAGAACTATGTTGCTGACATTGAAGTCGACAGCAAACAGGTAAGCAGCATTTATTTCTTCCCAGAATCGGTGTTTTGTAACTGGAGGACTCTAGTGGCTGCACTCATGTAATGCTAAACCTATAGACCAGGGTGGGCAGTTAATTTTCACATGTTAGATCTAGTCTAACCTGCACGAGTTTGAATTATTGAGCAGATTGAGTTCTGCTTATTGGCAAAATTAATTGTCTGACCTGCTCACCTGCTACCGACTGTGCACTGCTCGAAGATATTTCAGCTTCTAAACACTTTTGGCAGGTCGAGTTAGCACTCTGGGATACAGCAGGTCAAGAGGACTATGACAGACTGCGCCCGCTCTCCTATCCAGACACTGATGTCATTCTCATGTGTTTCTCCATTGACAGCCCTGACAGTCTTGGTAAGTAAAAACAGAGGAGACTCAGCAATGTTGCAGCTCATTTTTAATTTTAAATTATTATTACTAAACCACCAAAGGCTTTGTGGGAGGGGGAAAAAGACTATTAAAAAAGGGAGGGGATAGCTCAGTAGTTAGAGCGTTCGCCCCATGATCAGAAAGTCGGGGGTTCAAATCCACCGAACGGCTACCTGAGTAAGGTACCATCCCTGCACACTGCTGCCTGGGCGCTGGATTGATAGCTGCCCACTGCTTTACTGAGTGAATGGGTGCAGAGAGTAATTAGCAAGGTAGTAGTAGCAAGGTTTACAGAAGGCTCTCCTTGAGTTAAAAGCTCTGGAGCTTGTTTTGAAATCTGAAACTCTTATGTGGGCCACTTCTTTGTGTTTTCATTGGTGGTTAAAGGTGATTTTTGAACACTTTCTAGTTACTTCCACCACCTAGTAACCCCTACTCTATTTAAGGTCTTTGCCTTGTGTAGCACATAAAAGACAAATTCAGGATTCAAATATTGGCCTGAAAATTCAGAGTAAAATGTTTTTTAC